GGGGCCTTGGGAGCCCCAGCCAGCCTTGCCTGTGGCTCCGCCGGAGCTGCCGAGAGTGGCCGCTGGGGACTGGGGAAACCCGGTGCCCGGAAATCCCGACGGGGCCTCCGTTTCTCCCCTGTCCTGCCTAGCTCGAGATGCCCTCCCAGCGCTTTGAGTCACTTTGAGACGCTGGGTGACAAAAATGTGTGAGTGTGTGTGTGTGTGTGTGTGTGACAGCTTCAGTGACCTCAGAGGCAGAACCTTAGCAAGGGGAAGAACTGGGGATTCCAGAGAAGCCAAGCTCACCACCTCCACTGTCCCCCCTCCCCCCTGGGACTCCCACCCTCTCCGACTCACCCTCTGTAGTAGGAACAAGAAAGAGCCTTGACATTCATGTTTCCAGCCACCAAATGTTACTGATAAGTCCAGACCCGGGAAGGGACTTGCCCAGGACCACGCTGCTAGTCCTAGGCCCCTGGGTGTGGTCCATGAATTGTGCTGCCTGTCTGCTCACCCCAGCCCAGCTCCGTCTGAGGCTGGCCCTGCCTTCAGTAAGGTTCGGGGAGGCCTAGGCTGGAAGCCCACCCACCCATACTCATCGCGGCCCCGGAAGGCCTCCCCACAGCAGCAGTGAACGCCTTCCACGCAGCCCCTGTCTCTTAAGAGGCCCCCCACTCCCCCAGCAGGGCCTTCTGGGTTGAATAAGGCTGAGCTGGAAGCCTTCCATCCCCTTTACCCAGCTTCCCTCTCCCCTGGGCCTCCCATCAGCCTGGCAGCTGGTATTGGCAGCACCATGGGAGGAGCCAGCTTGGCTGCCCATTCAGAGCACAGTTGGGCCAAGGCTGCATGCCTCTCTCTGCCTCCCTCCCACCCAAATCCCTTCTTGGATCTGCCCTTTTCTCCCCATTCCCTGCACGCTCTGTCCCCTGAGCCCTCCCCATCCCATGCTATCTCCCCTACTTTCACTTCTTTTGCCTGGAAGAAACCCTGAAGTTTAAAGGCAAAGAAGCTGCTGGACAGTGGGTCCCCCCCACTCCCCATGTCTGCAGGGAATGAAAACTCCAGGAGGGGGGGCCTGAGGCACACTGGTGAACACCCCCCCCACTCCCCGGGAGTCCTCCCAGGTGCGGTGGTTTTGACTGGGAAGGCCAGGCACAGAGCTGGGGGTGGGGAGTAGGGGTGGGCTGCGGTGGGGGAGGCACCTGGAATGAGAGGCAAATGTCAGAGCTGGAAATGATGGCAAAAGCGATTTACAAATGGGGAAACAGAGGCTGGGAGGAGGAAGGGGTTTGCCCAGTGTCAATCAACCTGCCAGTTGTGGCCGGGAACCAACTCCACCTACCACAGCGACCCTGCATGCAACAGAAGGAAATGCCACCCGGTCCTGCACCCTCCTGCCAACGGTCCTTCCGTGTGAACGGCCCCCCTGTGTCCTGTCATGTCACCTCATCCAGAGCCTTCCTCTTTTTCTCAGCCCCTCCTCTTTCCAGGCACGAAGTCTCCAGGGCCCGGGCTCTCCTAATACCATGTGCGCAGATCCAAAACCCATGGTCACAAGGTGGGTGGGCCAGGCTTGGTCGCTGTGGTGCCCTCTGGCCTCTCACTTTGGGCAGGTGGGAGTCAATTGTTAGAAACTCATGTCCGCAGCTGGGTCTGCAGGGCAGATGTCCCCCTCCTCTGGCCGTGCACCCACATCTACTTAGGCAGCTAGGGGAGGGAGTGCCCGGTTGAGAGTAGGGTCCCCACTACCCACTTTTCCAGGCAGCTGCCTCCCCAGAAGGGGACCTCAGGGCCTGCAGGGCTACTGCCCCAGCTGGCAGCCCCGCCCAACCGCCCAACCACCAGACATCTGGAAGGTGGGCTGGTTAGGCCATCCTGGATACTAAGAAGCTTGCATTGAGGTACTAGCATTTAAAACGGGGGCTGGGGGTGGACTGAAAAGGTAGGCTCCCCATTCCTTTTGCACCTCACAGGTCCCCTCACCCATGGCCTGTGTCCAGTGGCAAACAGCTGTGCCCTGGCTGACTTCTGTTTTCCCCTCACCTGCTGTCTCTGCTTCTGAGAGGCCCCGAGTCTGGCTGGCCCTGGTTGTGCTTCTTCTCTTCTTTGATTCTTTCTTTCTTCCTCGATCGGGGTTTCTTTCTGTGCCTTCACCCCTCGATTCTTATCTTGAGCAGCACTGGGCAGGAGGAAAGTCTTGGAACTTTCCCAAGATGGGCAAAGGCCTGCGACAGGTGTAGAGGGGCGGAGCCATCCACGCTGGGGTGGGGGCCGCGGGGACTGTGCTCATGAAGACCATGGCTAGGTTGTTGTGCGCTTCTTTGTGTTTTCCGTCCCCTGAGTAGGTCTCCAGGAGCCCTGGTGGTGTAGTCGTTATGTATTGTGCTGCCAAACATAAGGTCAAGCAGTTCAAAACCACCGGCTGCTTCTTGGGAGAAAGATGAGGCTTTCTACTTAGTAAAGAGTTACTGTCTCAGAAACCCCTGGGGGCAGTTCTACCCTGCCCTATAGACTTGAAGTGAGTCAGCATGATCCTGGTGGTGGCAGGGAGGTTGTTTGATGTTTGGTTAGGTCTCTGCTATTTCCACCACAGAGCCCCCCAGGTGGTCTTAGGGGTCCAGACTCTGGAGGAGAAACTGAGGCCAAAGGAAGTGGCTCAAGAAGACCAGAAAGTACTTAGGATCTAGACTGAGCTAGGGGTCCCGGGCTGGCCTGCTTGCCCCTCACCCCTAATTCCAAGTGATAGCATTAGGTGGAGAGTAAAAGAAGATTTAAAACCCTTATGGGAATATTTTCCCAGAAAAGAGACTGGGCCTGGAGCCCCATGACCTGGCCCCATGGATGGGGCCCCCAGACAGCCATTGAACCTCCCGAGGAGCCCCAGTACACAGTTGCAGAATGAGGATGTCCCTGTGGGTAGGGACAGCTCGTTCCTATTGTGTGGTACAGGGGCCAGTCCATGCCCCTGCTCTACTAAGGAGAGGCCTTACTCACGTGAAACTGGGTTCCGTTTATGGAGGAAGAAAAGAAGTGTCCTTTCTATATTGTCCATTTGTTTTCCACGTGGGCACTGGGGACCAGGTTAGCCAAGAAGGCCCTGCCAGTGCCCAAACCCTGGGGAGGGCACACTGAGGTCACCTTGACCTCGCCATCCCCGAGGGCGGGAAGGTAACACAGAGGTGCCTTTGTTGCTTCTGCTCCACATCTTCCTTCAAGCAGAGTTCCTGCTGCAGGGAGCCAGGGGAGGTGGGCTGGGGGGAAAGGCCCCCCCAGGAAAGATGGAAACATTCCAGGAAGGAACTCTGCACCCAGATAGGGAGGTGAGCTAACACCCTTGGGCTCCTAATGCCTTGTTTCACCCCACCATTTTGCTGCTCAGCTTGGCACTGCCACTCCAGCCCCACCCTCCAGCATCTAGAAGGGGCCCATTCTCTCTGACCATGTCCTGGTCTCTCCCAGGCGCCTCGCCAGGGAGCCTCCCTGCCTACTGCTGCCCCTTCTTGCCCTTGAAGCCAGACCTAAGCAAGGACAGGGACGTGTGTGTGTGTGTGTGTGTGTGTGTGTGTGAATATGAGAAAGGAGCTGCTGGACAGGGACGTGTGTGTGTGTGTGTGAAAGGAGCTGCTGTGTCCCGCAACAGGGACGGGGGGTGTGTGTGTGTGTGTGTGTGTGTGTGTGTGTGTGTGTGAATATGAGAAAGGTAAGCAAGGACAGGGACGTGTGTGAGACGTGTGTGTGTGTGTGTGTGTGTGTGTGTGAAAGGAGCTGCTGTGTCCCGCAACAGGGACGGGGTGTGTGTGTGTGTGTGTGTGTGTGTGTGTGTGTGTGTGAATATGAGGAAGGAGCTGCTGTGTCCCAAGAAAGCCAGGTCCACCTTCCTGCCTCCATCCCCTGTCCCCTACCACTCTTCAGAGAAGCCAGTTTACAATTAAGGCACCAAGCGAACAGAAGGTCACTCCGCCTGCGGCATAGTGACTGTCCTCC